AGGCCTGAGGGTACCACCCAGTGGAGGGCCAGGCTGTGTCTGGCTTGCTGGTGCCCATCTTAGGGGGCTGGAGAGGGACTGAAGCCCAGAACCTTCCCTGTGGAGACTCCTAGGCTGTGTCTGGGAGGGACTCTCCACGCTGGACCTGAAGCCAAAGGCAGCTGCTGCAGCTGGTGGGAAGCAGAGTGAAGGAGTGACATCTCAGTTTCCCAGGAGGGGCAGATGGGACATATCCGCTGGTGGAGGAGCTCCACACGGGACATGGATCCTTGCACCCTTCCTTGTCACGCGAGCCCATGGTGCTCCAGTGCAAGAGGTTCCCCACGTACCCATTTCACAGATGCAGAAGTTGAGCCTCAAGAGGAAGTGGGTGGGGTTGGAGAAATCTGAGAAGCAGGATGTAGAGGCTGGGGGTGTCTCTGCTCCAAATTCTGAGGGGCTGAGAGAGGGCAGACTTGCAGAGGGCAAGGTCATCCCTGTGAAGAAAAGCCAGGAGGGAGCTGGGGAGCCGCGTCTCCCCGCCCCCGCCAAATGTCTTGGAGATACTCAATATGTAGTATCAGTTATCACAGCAAATCAGTTAATTCAAGCAATTAAAGGGGTTGGTTATTTAAATAATTAATGTGGCTGATTAATTAGCCTGAGTTAGCTCAATTGTCACTATTAGTAATTAATTTCAACACTCATATCAGAGGGGAAGTGTGTCTTTTAAGTCCATAAAATGAGAAAATAATTAGTTAATTAATGGAGTAGATATTTGAAAATATTTAAATAAATGGTGGCGCCTGTGGCTCATGACTGTAATCCTAGCTACAGGAGGCTGAGATCTGAGGATCGCAGTTCCAAGGCAGCCTGGGCAGGAAAGTCTGTGAGAGACTAATCTCCAATTAACCACCAGAAAACCAGAAATGGCATGGTGATTCAAGTGGTAGAGTACTACCCTTGAGCAAGAAAGCTCAGGGATAGTGCCCAGACCCCTAGTTCAAGCCCCAGGACCAAATTAAATAAATCAATAGAGCTTTGATTCTTGGTTTTGGATCATTACAAGGTAAGGGAGAATGTTCTAGAACTCTCCAAGACAACTGGCAGCTGAAGGCTGAGTGACAATTACTTTGGCCATATGAAACAGAGAAGGGTCTAGGCAGAGGGAATAGTGTCATGTGCAAAGGTCCTGAGAAATCTGAGAAGGTTCTAGTACAAGGGAACAGTGCGTAGAGAGAGGAGGCCCAAGACAGAAGGATTAGACTTTGTCCTCAGGATGGTTGGGGCTGCTGTGACATGCATTCCCTCAAAGAAAAATGTAGGGGGCTTGGGATAGAGTTCGTGACAGAGCACTCGCTCTTTTTGATCAAGCCTAGCATGCTACCTCTTGAGCCACAGCTCCACTTCTGGCTTTTCTGCTGCTTAATTGGAGATAAGAGTCTCCTGGCCCTTCCTGCCTGGGGTGGCTTTGAACAGAGATCCTGAGATCTCAGCCTCTTGAGTAGACAGGCTTAGAGGCGTGATGATGGATTTTAAGTAGTCATGATCACTTTATGTTTGGGCAGTCTCCAAGGGCTGTGGATGATGGAAGGTGATGGGATTGAAACTCCCTGGCCTAGACCTCTGCCCTGAGCATGCTCATTGGCTCTGGCTACCACCCATGCTGGCTGCAGAGGCCGAGTCCCAGCCCCAAGGCAGTGCTCCTGCCCCAGAGCCGGAGGGGAAGTAGACAGGAAGCAAAAGGAAGCGCTGGGTGGATCTCAGTGTCCTGGCCAGTGTGTTCCCAGCAATAGGAGGATTTCCGGTCATGAATGTTCGGAAGTGATGGGATAAGACACCTCACCCGGGAAGGGTAGATGGAAGGCTCCTCCTCCACCCCACTCCCGCTGCTAGGGGGCCCAGAGGACCCAGAAGACCTTGGAAGTCTACTGTTGCCAGGCTGCAGCTTGAGGGACGAGGATTAGACAGCAGGAAGGCTGCTTATGCCAGAACCAGGAGCAGCTATCAGACAACTTAGCTTCTCAGTGAGGGGCCTCAGGAGCTGGAAGAACCTACAACTTTTTACCTAGTTTTGAATATTAAATTCCTGCTGGGCACCGCCGGTGGCTCACACCTGTAATCGTAACTACTCAGGAGGCTGAGATCTGAGGATCATGGTTCAGAGCCAGCCCAGGCAGTAAAGTCCATGAAACTCTGATCTCCAAAAACCAGTAGAAAACTGGAAGTGGCGCTGTAGCTCAAGTGGTAGAGCGCTTGCCTTGAGCTGAAGAGCTGAAGGACAGCACCCAGGCCCAGAGTTCAAGCCCAACAGCTGAAAAAAAAAAAAAAATCCTTCCCTGCCCATTTTGCAGATGGGAAGACAGGCCCTTCCTAGCCAGAGAACAAGGACCATGTGAAGATTTGGGCAAGAATATTTGAAGTGAAAAAATTTAAGTGTGTGCAAAGGCCCTGTGGCAGGCAGGAATGGGTTGGCAGAGGCCAGGGAAGCTGAGGCAGAATGAGGGACAGGGTGATGGAATGAGACACATTCGAGCATGTGGGACCTTATAGGTTAGGATACATGGTTTACACCTATTTACTGGCATAATAGTGGTTCTCCCTTTACTCTCACAAGGGAGAAAAGTTCTGACTTGGATGATAAATTACATTGCAATGGAGGAGAGTACAAACTTTGTTCTTCAAGAAATGAGAGGGCTGGGGACATGACTCAGTGGTACAGCAATTATCTTGCACAGCTAGGCTCTGGGATTTGATCCTCAGCACTTGGGGGGAGGATATGGTATCAGTGGCTCACATCTGTAATCATACTTACTCAGAAAGCTGAGATCTGAGGATCACGGTTCAAAGCCAGCCCAGGCAGAAGGTCCATGAGACTTTTATCTCCAATTAGCCACAAAAAGCCAGAAGTAGCCAAGTGCCAGTGGCTCATGCCTGTAATCCTAGCTACTCAAGAGGCTGAGCTCTAAGGATCTAAGGATTGTGGTTCAAAGCCAGCCCGGACAGGAAAAGCCACGAAACTCTCATCTCCAATAAACCAGCAGCAAACCACAAGTGGCTCAAGTGGTAAAGCATTAGCCTTGAGCTAAAGGACAGAACCCAGGTCAAGAGTTCAAGCCCCATGACTGACAAAAAAAAAAAGCCAGAAGTAGAGCTGTAGCTCAAATGGTAGCGCACTGGCCTTGAACACAAAACCTCAGGGATAGTACCCAGTCCCAGAATGTACGCACCAGGACCGGCAAAAAAAAGAAAGAAAGAAAGAAAGAAAGAAGAAGAAAGAAGAAAGAAAGGAAGAAGGAAAGAAAGAAAAAGAAGAGGAAAAAGAAAAAAAGAATTTAAGCCAGATGTGGTAGCACATACCTGTTGTCCCAGCTATACGAGAGGCTGAGAGAGGATCACTTGAGCCTAGAAGCTCAAGACCAGCCTGGAAAACATAGCAACAAGACTCTGTCTCAAAAAAAAAAAAGGAAGGAAGGAAGGAATAAACCAGGTTCTGGTGGCTGACACCTGTAATCTTAACTACTTTGGAGGCTGAGATCTGAGGATCTTTGTTAGAAGCCAGCCCAGTCAGACAAATCCATGAGACTCTTACCTCCAGTTAGCCAAAAAAGTCAGAACTGGAGGTGTGGCTCAAGTGGTACAGTGCCAGCCTTAAGCAAAAGTGCATACAAGACCTAGCATACACACACACACACACACACACACACACACACACACACGCACACGCCAAGAGAGATCTGGGTGCCATCTTTGGCTTTGGTTGAAACCTTAGGTGCTGTCTGGTGGCAGAGCAGAAGCTGCTGGGTGTGAGGAGAGGGTGGTGGGAGCTAGCCAGGAAAAGGCTGCCTAGTGCTGCCCCAGAGAAGAGGCAGGGCAGGCTGGGCCAGGGAGGTAGATACAGGAGAAAAGTAGCTGAGATCCATTCTGTTGTTTTTGTTGTTGTTGTTGTTGTTTTTTGTCGGTTGTGGGGCTTGAACTCTGGGCCTGGGCGCTGTCCTTCAGCTCTTCAGCTCAAGGCAAGCGCTCTACCACTTGAGCTACAGCGCCACTTCCGGTTTTCTGGTGGTTTATTGGAGATAGGAGTCTCACGGTCTCTCCTGCCGGGGCTGGCTTTGAA